AAGAACCCAAGAAGTAGCATGTGATAAAAACCATTAGATTTAATTGTGTAAATACCTGCAAAAGATGGCTTGATCTTCCCATCCTTGATGGCCTGCAGATATTCTGAGCAGCTTCTCTTCCAATGCCCTATCTTGTGGCAGTAGTGGCACTCTGCCTCCTTAGGGTTAGAGTTGGGTTTAGCAGAACCAACTTTGGTTCCACTAGGAGAGGTGCCATCTTGGGACTTTCCCTTGTGGTGTCCCCTTGAGGGAGCCTTCTTATTCTTACCCTTCCCTTGCCCTATTGCCAAGACAGGGGCAGCAGCAGGAGTTGGAGTTGATGCAACAGATTTATCCTTGAGGTTGCTCTCAGCAGTCCTCAACAAGCCCTGAAGCTTGCTCAAGGAGACCTCTTCCTTATTCATGTGGTAGGTCATGCGGAACTGGCTATAGCAGGAAAGCAATGAGTGAAGGATGATGTCAATTTCCAGCTCTTCATCGAAGTTCACATTCAACTTCAGCAGGCGATTGACATATCTCTGCATCTTTTGCAGATGAGCGGTAAGGGACTCTCCATTACCCATTTTGGTAGTGATCATCGAAGTGATGATCTCATACCTTTCTTGCCTAGCGCTCTGGTGGTAGCGTTCCAGCAGATCCTGATGCATCTCATAGGGGTACTTGTCCTCATAGGACTTCTGGAGTTCTGCAAGTCATAGCCGCCAGCATGATGCAATGGACTTTCGTGGCATCACGCTCGTGGGCCTCATAAGCCGCAATCTCTTCAGCGGTAGCAGTGTCGATGTCAATCTCCTTTAGCTTCTCATCGAGGACGTATTCTTTGTCCTCGTAGCGAGTGGCCATGCGAATGTTGCGGATCCAATTACTGAAATTGGTCCCATCAAAGATCACTTTCCCACACAAGTTCATGAGTGAGAACAAACCACAGGAGTTTGAACCAGAAGCGTTGTTGTTTGCGTTCGACATCTGAAAAGGAAAAAGAACAAAGTTGATTAGATACGAATTTCCCCAATTAATCACCCAAATGAAAAATTAGGGCTAGGAACCAACAACATTATTCACAAATTAGAAATGGGATGCCGTAATCTAACAAGTAAATAATTTGAAGGCAAGTGAATGTCGATTCACTAATTCTCCACCATGAAAAACGAAAAAGAGATTAAGTTTTAAATGTATTGAAAACTCCTAGATCTTTTGAGATTCATTGAACTTTTCAATGGCATGTTTAAATCTCGATATGCCCCTCTAGTTTGTGACTGGGATGCCGAGGATCACAAAGTGGATGTGAATAACCATGCAAATGTACATCGTGTCCTCATTGTTACAGTCACCTATTCGATGTGCCGGTTAACCACACACGCTCCATCGAACTATGACAAACAATGAGTCACCCTTTGCCACCTTTGCTTAGAACCCAATTAATATGCCGGTTAACCACACACGCTCCATTAACGTCTTAGCAAGGGTACAAAGTGTAATTTCATGGAATTGCATCAAATTCACTTTTGCCTAAAGTAACTAAGATTGGGAATTTTGTAAAAACATTTAGTTACTTTATATAGATTCATTATACTTTTAAATGAGGAAAGTTTGCCCTATCCTACCCGTTCGGCTAACGACCCTCCACCAATCAAGGAAGCGGTGGGTGAGAATGGACACCCATTAAACGGCCATTTTATAGGCCATAACCTTATACCCCCCTTATAGATCGGCTTCGTGAATGAGGCCTACTAACGGTAAGACTAGCATTTAAGTTATAATATATATATTAATCTTATAATATTATAAGTATAAGGTTGAATTTTAAAACTTTTAAAATTCTAAGGTTTGAAATTTAAATAGTTCAAATTAAACTTTTAATCACAAAATTTAAATTTCAAAACTTGAGGACAAGTTTTGAACTTTTCAAAACACAAAGGATCAAATAGCAAATAATATAAAGTAAACAATTAATTCAATGATTATCTAAATTTGACCTAGTCAATATTACTTGCAAGATAATTCAACAATTAATTCAAATAATCAATTATTATCAAATAAGGAAATTATTATTTAAACAATTGGTAATTATCTTTTGTTTTGTTGAGGATATTGACAAAAAGATGATAAAATTCGGATTTTATTGAACCAAAACGATTTAGGTAAGTATCCTAAAGCAAAACAGCAAGAAATCCTGAAAATCACTCTGACAGACGCTCCGACTCGCCGAGTCCCCTTATGGACTCGTCGAGTTCATCCTACTAGTCGACTCCACAATGGGACTCGCCGAGTTTGTCAGTCAGGAGGCAGAAAAACGATTTTTCCAAAGCTTGAACAAATAAACAATGCATCAATTCAATAGAAATCAATCAAAGCTCTGATACCACTGATGGGTTTGAGCCATAAGAACTTTCCTATGTGCACATGCAAACCCTAATGCTTGGATCTAGGTTTCTCTAATTGAACATGCAATTTATCCAAGTCTTGCAAACCTTAGATCTAGTGTATACAAATCAAAATTTGATATAAGAAATTCAGATCTAGATGATTACCTCTTGTTGCTTGCTTGAATCTTCTTGTTCTTGGAGCTTAGAGCCACAATTGTCATTCCTCTAATGGCTTACAAACACCAACTAGCAAGAGGATGATTTGAAGAGAGGATGTGGGCACAAAATCGGCTCTAAGAACTCCTAAGGGTTTCTGGTAGCCGATTTCTGTAGCCCTTTGGGTCTTTAAATACTTGAGCTGCTAGGGTTACATCCTGAAACCCTAATTGAATAACTTAGGCCCTAAGCAATCCAAGGATCCCTCTAGAATAAGGCTTGGACGAATTCAAGGAGTCCATACACCTTAATTTCGTCCACCCTATATTCATAAGGGTCCATAGCCCAAAACCAACTATCACACAATTGACAGTTCTAGTCCCCTTTATTTATTTAATCACTTTTAGTCACCAAATTAATTCTTAATTAATCTATGACCAATATTAATTAAATAATATGATTATTCCTTTAATATATTATTCTCATAATATATTAATAAATCATATCTTCTCTCTCTTCATAAATCACTCTGTCAAGTTGCTATGGTGAAGGCAACCCAAAAGGACCATGCACAACTGGGACAATTACTTACCCAAATATAGTTACGGGCTTAGACACTAATCCAACAATATCATGTTGGTAAGATAGTACCCGCACTTATATGCTACCTTATTTGCTTCAAACGATACATCGTGCGACTTTCCAAGGTATATGTCGTTGAATACCGGCGGCTGATCTAGAACATCGATGTCGTTGTTTGCAACAGCTGGACCAAAGCATGCATGCCATATGCAAAGATCATGTGATGCGATTGCTTCTAAAACAATCATCAACTCTCTATGATCGCCCCGCATGTATTGACCACGTCATGCGTTAGGGCATAATGCCCAAGACCAGTGCATGAAATCAATACTACCTAGCATTCCTGGGAACCCATGCTTACTTTCATGCACTGTGTACAATTGGTGGACATCATTGATAATTGGTTTATGCAAATATCGTTGCCCGTAAATCAAAGTAATAACTTTTGCGAACTTGTACGCACTATCCCGTGTGGTACACTCGGACATCTTTAAATACTCGTCTCATTTGTCTGCTCTCATGCCGTAAGCTAACTAACGGATTGAGATTGTGCATTTTTTAATTGGAGAAAAAAAAAATTTCTGCGTCTCACATCCCGCTTCCACTGGAAATATAGAAAACGGTCTTCCAAATCGCCAACAATACGTAAAAATAACTTTTTCCTCATCCGGAACCGCCGTCGAAACTTTTCAGCTTACACGACGTCATCTGCAAAATAGTCTTCTATAAGACGAGTGTGCCCGACTTCATGATTTCTCCGCATCGAAGGGTTTCTTGTTTTAGGTCGTGAACGTGAGCTTTGACCTTGTCGGTTTAGGAAATAAACCACTATTTTGCCATGACGGAACCGACAAATAACGCCAATTCTTGAGCCATCAAATCGGAGGACGAAGATGACAATGATGACATTGTGTTTGAGTGGTTTTTTTTTTTTTTTTTGAGAAAATAAGTAGAAATAAGTTTGAAAATTAGTTAAGTTTGTTTCGTATTTAATATTTATAGAGTGTTAAATGTATTAAAAAAATCGAAAAAAATATTGTTTCTAGCCGTTGAAACTAAAAAAAAGAGAAATATTTTTTTTGAATGTTACTATTTTAATAAGAAAAAGCAAAAAAAAATCAGCTAATGGGGTGAAGAGAGTCGGCGGTGTAGCCTCCCCTCATTCCTAAACCGCACCACCTTAAACCGTGGTGGCGGTATTGTATTTCCGGCCACGGTTCCGGTTCCCACATCCCTAAACCGCTACACACCCTTAAGCCTATTAAAAAAGGTCCAAAAACTATTTTTTATAATAACTAAAATTCAATTAATTGTTTTTTAAATTAATTTGTAACAATAATAGTTAAAAATACCATAAATTTATAAATTTGTCGATAATTTAAACAATTATCATGATGAAATTAAAACCTCATTAAAAAAAATTAGTTAATATAAATAAGATAACATTTACAATAACATATGATCACGAAAAGTTTAACTATCGTAATTTTATTTCATGGATATTCGTCTAGTAGAATCATAATTCAAACACCCCTATTGGTTTATAGTTTATACCATTCGGTCTCTTGGGGGATGTTATACAAAGTGGCTTATATCATGTCCACAACTTCTATTTTAGGCTTTTAGCACATATGTCAAATTTTGGTCCGACATTATCATATCAACAACTTCTAGTCCAGTCGCATGTAAGAGGGGCCTAAAAATGATTAACATCGATCAATATGAAAATGAAATCAATGGAAAAACCTGCAACTCAAATGAAAAAAGATGAAAGCAATTGATAAATGGAAACACATACAAACAAACTATAGCAAACTTGAGCTACACATATTTCGACCTACAAACCACACTTTAAAAAAAAAACGACATACAAACTTCTAGTAACCTGTTTGCCTGTTATACCCACCCTCCATATTGCCACCGCCACCACCTCCCCCCTTGCTGATCTCCACCACCACCTCCTGCCCCAAACTGCCCACCACCACCACCACCTCCATACCCGGCATTGTAGCCATCATTACCACCATAGTTTCCGTAACCATAACCTTGACCACCATACCCAGAAGCTCCACCTGCAGATTGACCCATTGATGCAGATTGACCACCTCCTCCATAACCCATATTTGGACCATAACCAGAACTTTGACCACCCCATTGGGTTTTCACTGCACCAGGATTTCCATAACCAGGGTTCCCATATGCACCACCATAGCCGCCACCACCATAACCACCAACACCATAACTTCCATATCCACCTCCAAAACCATAACTTGGTTGACCATAGCCGGAATATGTTGGGTAGCCACCGCCGGTGGTTTGTTGCAGGAATCTATTACCATCCATTTGACTATCATATGAGCTGGAATTGCTACCTTGATATCCACCACCACGTGCGCCACCGCCACTGCCACTGCCATTGCCGCCAGGGATTAGCGTCTTTAGGAAGTGCTCGTTTCACCTCAACAAGCTTATTGTTGAGTTCATGGAAGGTCTTTTGAAGAACTCTATCAACAGCATCTTCTGTATCAAATGAGATGAAACCAAATCCACGAGGTCTGTTGGTGGTTTGGTCAAACATGATTACTACATCCGTTATATCACCATAAGTTTCAAAGTATTGACGGAATTGGTCCTCTGTCAAGGTGGAAGGTAAACCGCCAACAAATATCTTTTTGGTTCTGTAATTTCCTCCTGTCCCTGCCCCACCGGAGCTCCTCCCAACATTGCTTGCAGGTCTAGACGTTTGCTGTTCTTCCCTCGATAATGCCCTCTTAGCTTCCACCTGCACATTAGAAACGAACCACAGAATACATGAGCCGCCGAATCTGAAATTGAATTTATAACTGGAAAACGAGGTGAAACACTATAATCATACATTGTTATACAATGATCGCGAAACTAAAACCCCAAACCCAAAACAATGACGTACAAAATCGAATAGCAATTTCTTACAGTTCGGCCTTCAATAGTATGTCTATCTTGAAGAACAGAATCGAGAAGGGAAGGATCTGAGAAAACTACGAAGCCGAAGCCACGTGGACGGCCGGTGGTCTTGTCGCGCATGATAACAGTCTGAGAGACATGGCCGTACTTGCTGAAGTAATCTCTAAGGGTTTCCTCGGTGGTGTCCCATGCTATTCCTCCGATGAATAACTTCCCTTCGTCTGAATCCATTGACACCAGTTTATTTCTCGCACAGAAAGACGTGGAAACCCTCAGTTGAGGTTGAGTTGCAGAGGCTTGAATTTAGGGTTAGGGTTTGTATGCTAATGTTCCACAGATTCCGAGTGCCACTTCCCGGAAAACGCAGTATTTGTTGAAAGATACGGTGAAAATAGCAAGAAAAAGGAAGTCGCCCGCTCCCCCCATCCCACCAAGAAACGCCACCGTTTCAGCAATATACGTTTCAATCGAATAATTCTTATAGAGCTTTTAATATGTGTGAAGATATTTATGGTATTATATATTTTTTAGTCAAACTTGATCTATTTTGATTAAAAGGGGCATTTCCGAGAATAGTTAAGTTTGGCTAAAAATAAACGGGATCCAAAATATAATATAAGTGTTAATAAATTACAAAAAATCGATTGATACACAACAAAAAAACTTACATTAAGTTTTTCAAGGGACATCAAGTCTGGATTTTTGATACATGAAAAATGTAGAGGCACCAAATCCTCTCAGCAACGTCACCTGCAAAAAGATTCAAACAATTAAAATCTCTATCCCATGAAATTTTTTATTATTAAGTTAAAATTATTTATCACCCATATTTACCATTACAAAAGGATTACATTAATTATTGTCTACAATATTTAAATGGGTACACATTTATAATTACATCTGGAATCACTAATAATACGAACAGAGAACTCACATTCTGTGTGTTCCTTGTTACCATCACTACAACTGCAGCATCTATAGAAAGAAAACAGGTCGATAATTATAGAAATCATGAATCAAATAAGAACAATAATAAAGCTTAAGAAAACATAGATACCGAATCTTTGTAGTTTTCCCTTTGAATTGACTCAATAACTCACTTGCATATGCTTCAAATAAACGAGACCTGCAAGCAGAAAACAACCCATCTCTTGGTTTTAACACACGTGTAAAAAGCATTTTAACCGGTTAAACAGGTTACAGGTAAACTTTTGCATAAACTTGGTTCCATATTTCATCTGAAAAAACATTTATTTAGGTGTGTGCATAAATAAATAGGTTCCAACTTACAACATGTTTTAAATTTGTAATAATTAGATTTAAAGGTACAGAAAATGGAAGCATCAAAGAAGAAACGGTTTACCAGGGAGGAAGAGATGATGCTACAAGTGCAGGAGGGATTTCCCACAATCTATGAATTTGATTGCTTAATTTTGCATCAAGATACTCAACAATCTCATGTTCCTTGAACTGAAAATGGGAACAAAAAGTGGAATGATTTGTAAATAAACTGAACTTTGTAGCAGAAAGACTACCTTTGAGTCCTTTGTTTCCTCCATTAATTTGACATTTTGAAATCTTTTCAAGATCAAGTTGTGTACTCCTTCGTATAGTGTGTAGATACTAAAAGGTTCATTACAACTCGACATAAATTTTTTAATTACATGATTCCATCTCCTTGATATACATCCCACCAGTAACAGCTCCTGTCATGATTCATTATTGGTTAAAAAAAACATGTTTGTGAAAAATATTATATATACTCCTTCATGCCAAAATGTTGCAACTTTTGACTTAACACATGTTTAGATAAAGTGTTTGACTGCTTCTCAAGTGTACAGATCAATTGACTTTTTGAATTATAAATGACTCACAAATGTCTCAATTTCTTCACTTGATGTATCTAACTGTTCAAAAACCTGTATCCACTGAACCTTAGGGGCAGAAAAAATCATGCTTGCACCTGAAACCAATCTGATAGTCTGCTTATCAAGTAGATATGAAAGGGTTTTCATCCGCCAATTACTCCACCTGATTAAAATAATCAATTAGTCTTTGATCATTATTACTGCTTACAAATTGTTCTATGGATAAGTATGATGATCAATGAATGTTAACAAGACAAAAATATCACTTACACATAAGCCTTTTGTTGTTCTTGAAGCTCATTTGAGGTTCCTTGTGCTATGGTCTTAGAAACAACATCCACACTTGTCTCTATTGATGAAACACATGAAACTGCAAGTTGCCTTTTTGTGATTCCTTGAATAGCAAACGCTGTCAAATTGGTTTTCGTGTAGGCTTTAGCCTTGGGAGAAGGCCTAGGAGAAAAGTCCATTTTACCCTCCTCAACAGAAGCTTGAGGACTCCTTGTTGTGTTTTGCAGCATCAACTTGTCAAGATATACATCCAAGTAATCGGTTTCTGTCCTTTGAAGTTCATCAAGATCCATTTCAATGGTTGCTTTTAGAACCGATTTGAGATGTTCATCCCTCATTGGTAGTGTGCGAATAAAATGTTCAAGTATATAAAATCTTGCTTTACCAAGTGTAGTGGATGATATATGTGTAAGACCCTGAGTAACAAGATGTAATTAGAGAAAGTCAATGCAGAAAGAATGAACGACTTAATAGAGAAAGTCAGGAGTAAAATGAGTAATAATCATTCCTCATTAAGTTCAAACTGTTTGCGAAAAAAAGAGCATAGAAAAGGGGCTAAGAGATGTTCCACCTGTGGAAAATGAGGATCGGATGTCAGTTTAGATAAGGCTGCATCGACTTCAGCCATGGAGTCTTGATTGCCATCTATACTCTCAAACACCTGGAAAAATAGATAATTTCATGTTCCACAAACCCTACCCTAAAGCAATCAACAATGAAAGAACAATTGAAATGGCTTAATAATATAAATTCTCCTATACCACAAAAGATTTAATTCATAATTACTTCATTCTATTCGACCAATTTCAAATTGGAACAAACCTTTTTTGCTTAAAATTGTTGTAATTTCATGTTCCACAAACTACACGGGATTTTAAAGTAAAACACAAAACCAGAAAGAGGAAATTGAATCAAGATAGAGTCTTCTTCATTCATACTATTCATAATGTATGGAATTTAAAAAGGGAAAGTAGAAAAGAAAATAGGGATTGCTCACATTCTCGAAGAAAAGACCCCATTGGAAAGCTTTTTTAATGTTTAGCGGATCCCAATGAGCAAAGCGACCAGATGATTGATACCCAGAAGCTAAAATCAAGATATCAACAAACCCTTTGATCAATTTCAACAAGTCTTCCAGTGAAATCTCTGGGTGAGACCACCCTCCCATCTTCTTCTTGCTTTTTTTCCCGCCTTTTCTAAAGCGCACAGTCTAGCGATTGATTGTGTGTGTATATATAGTAATATTATAGATGCTAGATTATGGACAATGCAACATCTCCCTGTCTAATAAACAAGTGTCGCATTGAAAAGAGCTGAATTTTTACAAAGTTAAATACCTATTATACCCCTCTTTGATTCAGCTGCGTATCAAAACATATACTACGCCCTGTTGTCTTTAGAATTACTCGGTTATAACAGGTCTGGGCATTAACTCCAAAATTCATTACATTCCCGTTTCATAGCATCTTATTATGATATCCGATCTTTTATATAAGGTATGCTATCAATGCTATCAATTGCATTCAATGGAAATCGTATTACAGTCAATATATATTTCAAACCTTTATATCAATCGTTTCTTTGGTAAATTGTGTCTCCTTCGTCCTTCATCAATCGTACTCCAAAATCATCCACTCAATCACAGACGAAAATCCTCCACTCAATCGCAGAAAAGAGGTGTTCGGTAAGTTTCTTAAAAGCTTACTTTCAGATTGTTTGTTTATTAGTTGAATCTTCTTGTGTGTTTTTTTTAATTTCTGTGTTGTTTTTTACACAACAGTTTATGCTTCTCAATTCTCAATGTGTATGCGTGTGATAATCATAATCGAAAATTGTTTCTGCTTCTTAAAACCTACTTTCAGATTGCTAATCAAACAATAATGATGGCTAGGGCATTTTCGTCCTTCATCAATCGTTGTTAATTTTGATTTTTCATGCTTATCCATTCTATCCACTGGATCAAATGCTGGAGGGCATTTTCGTCTTTTGTTTTCTCTTTGTAGTGTATATACATGTACGCCCAAGAAGATGATATTAACAACCTATCTACCCCTTAAAACCCTTTTTACCCTTTATTATATCTGTCAATCTTATCCACTTTTGGATCCTATTATTATATACTCTTAATTTGATATTTTTATAACTTAATTAAGTTGACCAATCTTACATCTTCGGGTAACATTGTTTTCAAATAAAAAAAAAACACATCAAAGAGCATCCAAAAAAACAAAAAACAAAAAAAACCACAAAAAAAAACGTCCCAGCAGAAAAAAAAAAAACCCCCAAAACAGGAACCAAACAATATCAAACAATAGGAAAATTGTATTTTTCAATTTGGCGTTGCTTTTATTTAGAAACCATAAAAAATTTGTACTTCTCAGCATGCTTTCATTTCTGTGTTTGCTAACTTTAAAGGCCAAATCTGTCCTGCTGTTGGTACTTATTTTTTTATTGGTAAAATACCATTTTTACCCTTTATTTATATTTGATCAATATGAAATATACTCAAATATCGATTTTCTGCATTCTTTAACTATGAAGTACATCAAATTGGACTAATATACCCCTACCCCTGCATGCATTCTTTAACAAACGTTACAATCAATAGCAACATACTTTCATTTTATCTTTTTGTTAATTCTAAAGGACAAATCTGTCCTGCCCGTTCATCCTGCCTTTTTTTTGTTAATTGTAATGGCCAAATCTTTTTTTATATGTTTACTACTCTAGGGACATAATTGTAATTATGTTTGTGTTTACATTTTCTATGTGTAATTTTCTTCCATTGTTTATCCTTAATATTGTATGTCTTTCTGTTGTAGTGACAATGGCAGCTAGAAATATCACTTTCATCAGCGACTTAGACAATATGAGGGATGATTACACACTAAAAGTGTGTATCATCCGGTTGTGGAGATCATTTCCGAATCTGACCCCACTGTTGTGAAATCAATTGAAATGATATTAATGGATGAAATGGTAAAATATCCTATTACAATAACATTATTCAAAATCATTTTTTTTTGTATTTGCTCATTCCAATAATATTATTCAAATTCATTCATGGTCGAATAATTGATTCAACTTTGACCAAATTATATAAATTAATATACAATTGGTCAGCAATATATATAATATTCTTACAATATATTAATAGGGTACAAAAATCAGAGCCAGTGTCTACCGAAAAGATTTCCAAAGGTTTGACTCCAAGCTGAAAGAAGATGACGCTATTTACATCCGATCCCCCACTATAGCTCCAAACAAATACACTTTTAAAATAAGTGATGTAACCTCCAAGTTAAACTTGCATGGACAAACAACTGTTCATGAGTGTCTTGGTTTTCAATCCAAAACAAAATATGAGTTTTGTTTTGTATCGTTTGAAACCATTATCTCTGCGACAACTACATCTAATATCTCAATTGGTACTTTTTCCCCTATTTTATTGCATTTTATATTTAATTTTTTAATTTTACATAAATTTGACATATTGTATTATCATTTTGTAGATGTTATAGGTGAAGTTGTTTCGTTAGGCAAGCTGGATTCCCGTGATGTTAGCAAATCGAAACATAGGCTAACTTTACAAATCAGAAACTTAGAGTAATTATAACTTTTATTATATTATATATTAAATTATTATTATTAATATTATTATTATTATTATTATTATTATTATTATATAAACATTAACCTTTACTGTTTCTGCAGAGGTTTGCAAGTTAACGTCACATTGTTTGCAGATTTCGCATACCAAGTGATTTCTTATCTTGAAGCTCATAAACAAGTTGGTCGTGTGGTTATTATTTTGCAGTTTGCAAGACTTAATGTCTATAACGGTACAGTTCTTATAAAAGGCAACCTTCGTTATTTTACGCTTTTTTATTACTCATTATTTTGACTAATTTATTTTCTTTCAACAGGAATTCCTTCTGTTAACAATTATTTTGATCACACACGTATGTTCATAAATGCTGATCTTCCCGAAATTGTGGCCTTCACAGATAGGTAACAAACTATTTTAATTATTCATTCTTATTTTGTTTCTTTTTAATAATTTTACTAATTTCATAATTATTTTCCTAAATAAAAAAACAGCTTGGTTGGATTACGAGGAATTCAAAACCCTTCTTCTTCTTTGACTTTTGATAGCTCTCAATCATACAATGAATATGAAGACTTTTTGAATAATCACAAAGTTAAAAATGTTGTCGATTTGCTAGAACCACAAGAGGTATGTCAATAATTTGGTTTATTTAATGAGATTTTGTTTTATATTATTCATTTATTGTAGTTGCATTGTTTTTTTATGAATCTTTTTGTATTTTATATTTTTTTAGGTCGGGAAATTTATCATTGTTGGTACAATTTACGGTATACGACAAGATATTGATTGGTATTATGATGCGTGTTCAAACTGTGGAAAGAAAGTTGATCGAAGAGATGTTTTTAGCGGTCCAGATAGTGGTGATGCAAGTGTGGTTGTTGAATGCTCTACTGATAAGTGTAAAAAAAAGAGATTTCTTCAGCTCCAATGTTTTTTACATTTACCAAAACCTTAACCGGACAAATTTAATACATTATTAATCATTAATAATGTATAGTTAAACTTAAACATATTTAATATAAATTTATGTGGGATATTTTTGTAGGTATAAAATACCTATTCGTGTCCAAGATGATTCTGGCACAATCACACTAACTCTGTTTGATAGAGATGCTTATAGACTTGTCAAACAACGTGCAAGTGAGCTCATAGAGAAAATCAAACAGGTATAACTTAAGTATAATATATGTTTTATTAAATTCTATTATTTGTTTCATTTTATTTGTATTAATTAATATTAATTTGCTTTTAACCATAACAATAATACATAAGACATTTTTTCCAGGCTGGGGATAATCCGAGAATGTATCCTTATGACCTCAATGTCTGGTACATAAAAAGATGGCATTCAAGATATATGTTAATAGATTCAACGTATCCAATAACTACAATCGGTTTGGGATACTTGGCTATACGCTTGATAGTAACGTTATCAATGCTTTGGAAAAAAAGTTATCTGTTGAGGTATTTATATACATCTTTTTTTGGAAATTATGATGCACACTTTTATTTAATGATTTTTACTAATTACTAATTAATTGTAAATCTTGATGGAATAAAACCTTAAACCCACAAATGATAATACATACTTTTTATGCACCTAAAGCAGGCAGGTAATTCTGGAAATCCTGATGATACAGAAATCGCATCTCACGAAGCATCTCACGAAACGAAGTCGTTGAAGGTTAGCCTATAAAACTACATTATTTATTTTTATAATGCACCTAAAGCAGGCAGGTAATTCTGGAAATCCTTTTGTTAACCTCTGCAATTTTCAGTCTTCACATTCCAAAATAATTGTGAATTTATTGTCTCCTCTGGTAGACCTAAATAACATGTCAATTTTTTTTATTTACAAATATTGCATCCGGAATGTTCATATTGATCTGGATCATTCACAACTTAAATATATCTTTCTGTTTCTGAATCAATACAAAGTACATAACACGTTTTTGGCCAAATATATAATATATATATATATATATATATATATATATATATTATATATATATATATATATATATATGCAAAAGACTAATATGCCCTCGCCGGTTCATTCCATGTGATGTGTTAGGTTTTTTGACACAGGTGTATTTTTTTCAAAACACATACCACTATGACAGGTATTATGATTCGAAACTTCTTAAAATAAATCACATTTAAGCAAATTATGCAGATAAAACGTATTTTACAAATATAAAATACCATATTTTACCATTTATTTCTTTCACTTAGAAATCGATATTCAATATGGAAATTATATAATTACCTGATTAAGAGCATTTTTTTATGGTATCCATATCAATCATATCTATTACATTTAATTTTCATTATTATGTCGATTTGATCATATATTTGTCAGTATATATTTGAAACATATGATAATCAGTATTTCTTTACAGCATTGTGTGGTTATTATGGATCTTAATCTTAATAATCTCACGTAAGTTGAATTTCGAATATTCAGTTACATACTTCAATCCAAAGGACACTCTCTGCATCTCAATTCTGCTTCTTAATTTCGGATATTCAATCACCGACTTTTTTCCTTCGGTAAGTTTCTCATGATTATATATGATTGCTTCTCAATGTTTGTGTTAATCGTACAATTGAAAATTCTTTTCTTCTTCTGAATTCTGCGACTTAAATTCTGCTTATCATTGTTTTTTTTACTCTAAACATCTGGTTGTTACTACGAACTGCTAAACATCGGCCATTAGGAAATATGAAATACTTTTTACACCTGGTCCACTTTCATATGCTTGATGTTTAGATAGACGTTTTTCGTGTAAAGATTGTATAAAAACCTACATGAATAAAACATGGATGAACATATTAAGTGACATTGAATTAAAGTTTAATGCTAAGTAAATAGTAGTAGGGTAATGCAAAAACGAAAATTTCGTATTCAGTAATATTAACAACTAAAAATGGTTCTGTTTAAGCCTACATCATATCCTATTTCCCTTTGATTAATATGTTTTTGGTGTAAACCGGTTCAAATCAATGACAAATATGTAATTCTGTGAAACATGACAGAACTGCCCCTTAATTCAAAATAGAACCTACCAGTCAAGTAATACAAAATACAATCAACTAATAATAAAGAAGAAAAATATAACAAAAAACTGATAGAAAAATGTATTTGTCATTATAACGTCACAGAAATGCCCCCGAACTCAAAAAACATAAATATAAAATTTTATTTCTATTCGTATTGATTTCGATTGTACTTTTAGCTTTCTTTGTGTAACCCCTCAATGAATCTGAAATATAAACAAAATAAAGGCAAAATAAATTCTGAAAATGTACAGGTTTGTAGTATATTACAGTACAAAAATTACCATTAATATATTTTTTCTTATTTTTCTTATATTTCAGATACTAACAATTAACATGGATGTTTACAAGACTAATAAGAAGATAAAATTAAATAATTTCTATCTTGATAATACAAAACATATACCGATGTACACTACATCAGTCGATCAAATTCTATCTTCTACAAATGTTAGTAACCCGGGTGCTAACGGTACGTTCAATTAATATGTTATTACTTTCTTTATAAAAATTTTAATCTTAATTATAACTATTTTATGTCTCTCTCTCTCTCTCTCTCTATATATATATATATATATATATATATATATATATATATGTTTATGCAGATTCAGATAGAAACATCTATCATGTTCAGGCTAGAGAAAAAAGAAGAATAAGAAAATTATATTTGGACAATAAAAAAAAAGGTATGACCAAATGAATCCTTTCAATTTCATCTATGTCACATCTTTTGAAAATGAAATTAATAGATAACCTACTTAAAGTCATGTACATATTTTTTTTATCAGTTAAATATAAAAGTAATTAATTTGAAATGCTTTTTTAAAGTAATATGTATTTATCAATATTAATATTCATATATTATTTATCGATTTCTAATATTATTTATAAGTTATTTTATTTATAATTTTTTTTTCTCAATGCAAATTTAAAGGAGTTGTCCATCGAAGTAAAAACGTATCCGCATCTACATCAAGTGCCAATGTTTCAAAAAAATCAATGTTACCAAATCATCCTTCACATTTAAATGTTAGAACTCCTTTATCTAACATTTCCAATGGTAAGTCATTTATTTGTTTAATTTATTTTTATAATCGACAATCTTATTGTATCATATATAATATTGTTTACCTTCAATTTTCTTATCCCAGTCATGGATATTTCCAATAACAGTTTTCAATCACCGTCAACAAACATCAGCTTCGATTCAAACGGTAACATACATCATTGTTTTTACACTTTCTTTCTAACCTTCAAACAATTACACTTTTATTTATAATTTATCCATTTCTTATAACAATTTTTTTACAGAAACATTCAAAGGAGTGGTCAATCGAAACAAAAACGTATGCACATCTATGTCAAATGGGAAAATGTCAAAACAACCAATGTTACAAACACCTTCATATTTAAATTTTAGAACTCCGTTATCTAACATTTCCAATGGTATCTCATATATATTTTTATTTTATAATACATATATTGTCATTGTATCATATTTAATATTGTATACCTTCAAACTTCTTTTCCCAGTCATGGATATCTCCAATAACAGTTTTCAAACACCGTTACCAAACATCGGAATGGATTCAAACGGTAACATACTTGATTGCTCTTAAATTTTTATCTTTGTTTAGAAATATAAATTAAAACTTATTATTTCATATTAAATATTGACTCATTTCTCATTAACATATTTTTTACAGACAAAATCAACGGAGTTGTTCGTCGAAATAAAAACATAACCTCATCTGAATCAACTGCAAACATGTCAAAACAATCAATTTTACAAAATCCTCCTTCACATTTAAATGTTAGAACTCCGTTATCTAACATTTCCAATGGTAAGTCATTTATTGTACCATTTCATCTAATAATATATATTTTTATTCTATGATATTTAACAATGCATATTTTTAATCTTTTTTCCCTAGCGATGGATATTTCAAAAAACAGTTTTCAATCACCGTTACCAAATATTCGACAATACTCTGTAATTTCAAATGGTGACACATCAAACAACTCATCTACAGTAACAAAGAGATCATCTTCAGTCATGTCTACCAATCCTAATCGTAATAAAAACAAAAAAAGGGCAAATTTATCTCCTATTCCAATAATTGGTTTGACATCCGATCAAGACAACAACGATGGTCAAAGTAATCAAAACATATACAACGGTATATCAAAAGGTAAATTTTTAAAAAGTATAAAATTTACAGTTGTTTATCCAATCATTTTCAATTATCTAAACTTACAATATTAACTTTTTATGTAAAACTTAATTCACAGATTATTTGGATCATGGTGATCAGAATGTTGTATGCCAAACATGTTTTGCAAAATTATGGAAAGATGAATCTATCAAATGTAGAAAAAAGGATAATGAAAATTATTCTCTATGTTGTGGTTATGGCAAAGTTGAACTTCCAGAGTTAAAGAATGCACCTCCAAGTTATGAAATTCTTTTTAAATCTGGAGATTCTAAAAGCAAACATTTCATGAAGAACATTCGTTCGTACAATTCTATGTTTTCTTTTACGTCGATGGGTGGCAAAATTGATTCCTCAATCAATAGAGGCAATGCTCCATACATTTTTAGACTTAGTGGTCAAAATTATCATAGTATCGGAAGCCTTTTACCAAATCAGGGATTTAAACCAAAATTCTCTCAGTTGTACATATACGATACTGATAATGAAATCGCAAATAGACGAACATGCTTGGGGTACACTTTTCTATATTATCACATTAATATTAATATATATCTTATTGATCAGTAATACTTTCTTTATTTATCTTATGTTTATCTGTTAATGGTACTTGCAGTGGAGAAAATCAACGATCTACATCAAATTCTTCTGTCCTTGATGATGATATTATACAAGATTTGAAATTGATGTTAGATTCAAATAATGTCTTGGTTCAATCTTATAGGATGGTTAGAGATTGTTTTAATGAAAATCCTTGTGCTGATATCAAGTTGAGAATTATTGGAAGAAGGGACCAAGATGGAAGGACATACAACCTACCGTCTGCTTCTGAGGTAGCAGCTTTGATTGTTGGAGATATTGGTGATTCAATTGATAATAGAGATATTGTTGTTCAAACTTCATCTGGTTCTCTACGGCGTATTAGTGAATTACATCCATCATACCTTCCTCTTCAATATCCACTACTCTTTCCATATGGTGATGATGGTTACAGAGTTGACATACCACATCGAGGTATTACATCTTCAAGCAACAGCAAGCGGCCCAACTGTACAATGAGAGAATTTTTTTCTTATAGAATACAGGACAGGGATCAATATTTTTCACTAATTCTTAATTCAAAAAGGTTGTTCCAACAGTTTTTGGTAGACGCTTATACTATGATTGAAAGCGAGAGATTACATTTCATAAGGAGCAAACAACAAATTCTTAGATGCGAGTCTTATGAGATTTTACGTAATCAACAAGACCTCGGGAATAGAGATATATCCAACGTCGGACAACGTGTTATCTTACCTACCTCATTCACTGGCGGTGCACGTTATATGATGCAAAACTACCTTGACGCCATGTCCTTATGTAAATGGTTTGGATATCCTGATTTCTTCATAACCTTTACATGTAACCCAAAATGGCCTGAAGTTAAAAGGTTTCTTCGTAACACTTCATTGCATCCTGAAGATAGACCTGATATCTTATGTAGGCTATTCAAAATAAAGCTTGATGCTTTTATTAAAGACATACGGGAAAATAAAATTTTCGGCATCGTTCAAGCAGGTATTGAAAGTTGTTGTTTAATAAAAATTTATTTTTTATTCTTTTTTCGTTTCTTAACATTATTTATTAGTTGCAAATATAATTCATTCACTACTAATCATATATTTTTTGTAAAATTTATTTGCAGTTGTCTATACAATTGAATTTCAAAAAAGGGGTTTGCCACATAGTCATATTTGTCTATTTATGCATCCTGACTCCAAGCGGCCTACTGTTGAATATATTGATCCGATAATTTCCGCGGAGATTCCAAATATCAATGAAGAGCCAGAGTTGTATTCACTTGTAAGTGAATTCATGATACATGGTCCTTGTGGAGCTGAAAATATGAATTGCCCATGTATGGTTGACAGGCAATGTTCGAAAAATTTTCCAAAGCAATTCTGTAATCATTCTTCAGTTGATAACAACGGTTATCCCTTATATATGAGAAGAAACAATGGATATTTTGTCGAAAAATCAGGTGTCAAGTTAGACAACAGAAATGTTGTTCCATATAACAAATATCTGTTGAAAAGATATCAGGCACATATTAATGTTGAATGGTGCAATCAAGGATCTTCCATAAAGTATCTGTTTAAATATATAAACAAAGGTCCAGATAGAGCTACAGTTGCTGTTGACATCAACACTGATTCTCATCAAGAAAAGGTTGTCGATGAAATAAAAGATTATTATGATTGTAGATATTTATCTGCATGTGAAGCATCATGGCGAATATTTAAATATGATGTTCATTACCGATATCCTTCTGTGATGCGACTACCTTTTCATCTTCCTAATCAACAACAACTTATATATGCTGCAGACGATGATATTGACGATGTTCTTGAACAACCTTCAGTTGCTGCTTCTATGTTCACATCTTGGATGGAATGTAATAAAATTAATAAAGATGCACGAAAACTTACATATGTTGAATTTCCGACAAAGTTCGTTTGGAAAGCTAATCATAAGTTGTGGAAGCCAAGGAAAATTGGACGTTCAATAGGAAGGATTCACTCTGTTTCACCTAAACTTGGTGAAATATACTTCCTAAGAATTCTTTTAAATAAAGTGAAAGGTCCAAAATCATTTGAAGAAATTCGTACGGTAAATGGTGAAGAATTTCCTACTTTTCGAGATGCATGTTATGCTTTGGGCCTCTTAGACGACGACAAAGAATATGTCGAAGCAATTAAGGAAGCAAGTCATTCAGGAAGTGGTTTTTATCTGCGTTTCTTATTTGCTACGATGTTAATGTCTGACAGTTTGGGTAGACCAGAGTTTGTTTGGGAAAATACATGGCAACTATTGTCAGATGGTATTCTTTACAACCAGCAACGTACATTAAAGTCTCCAGGTATTATAATTTTTTAACATTATTTCTAAAAATGAATATTATATATTTTCAATATGCAGCGTGCAAATTTGTTTATAAAAATTAATGTTTTTAATATTATATTGTTTTTTACATATTCATAATTTTTACAGGTTTAACACTCAATGAGGATCAACTTAAAAACCTGACTTTGTTTGAGATCGAACAGATTTTACTTCGTAACAACACCAGTCTTAAAAATTATAACAAAATGCCTTACCCTGATACTGATATGGTTTCTTCTTCAACAAATCGCCTTATCACGGAGGAGCTAGACTATGACATACCCATCTTAAAGAAAGAGTTTGATCGAATGTTTCATGCATTAACAAACGAGCAGCGAAATATTTTTATTGATATCATGACTACAGTCAATGATAAGAAAGGAGGTGTTTTTTTGTGTATGGATATGGTGGAACAGGCAAAACCTTTCTTTGGAAGACGATATCTGCAGCAATTAGATGTAAAGGTGATATAGTTTTAAATGTTGCTTCAAGTGGTATTGCATCGTTATTAATTGCCTGGAGGTAGGACAGCACACTCTCGGTTTATAATTCCATTGAATCTTACAGAGGATTCTGTTTGTAAGATATCGCCTGATAGTGAACTCGGCAGATTAGTAAGAAAAACCTCATTGATTATCTGGGATGAAGCACCTATGGTCCACAAGCATGCATTTGAAGCTTTAGATCGAGCTCTGAAAGATGTATGTAACTTTGACAAGTCTGGCAACTCAAAAATTCCATTTGGAGGGAAAGTGATTGTTTTTGGAGGAGACTTCAGACAGATTCTACCTGTTGTTCAAGGAGGCAGTAGACAAAATATTGTTAATGCTTCTTTAAGTTCTTCATATATATGGCAACAATGCAAAGTCCATAGATTAACAATAAACATGAGACTAACCGTTGGAAGGGAACCATCTGATATTCGAAAAATACAAAGTTTTGCAAACTGGCTTTTGGATATAGGAGAAGGAAAAGTTGGTGGTTCAAACGATGGTGAAGCGATTATTGATGTTCCGGATGATATTCTCATTAATGATCCACATGATCCTATAGGTTCATTAATTGAGTTTGTATATCCTTCAATCTTGGAAAAATTCAACGTTATGAGTTATTTTCAAGAAAGAGCTATACTAGCTCCGAAAAATGAAGTTGTCCAACAAATCAATGATCGTTTGTTAGCACTGTTTCCCGGAGACGAAGTTGAATATTTAAGTTCAGATAGTCTTTGCCAATCAGAGTTTGTTCATGATCATTTTGATCCCAATTTATACTCCCCAGATATTTTAAATGGTCTTAAAATATCAGGTTTGCCAAATCATAGGTTAATTTTAAAAGTCGGTGTTCCAGTTATGTTACTTAGAAACATTGATCAAAAGAATGGATTATGTAACGGCACCAGACTACAAGTGAAATCTTTGGGCAAACGTGTTATTGAGGCAATTATCATATCTGGAACTAATATTGGAAAACAAACCTTTATTCCAAGATTGTCTTTAACTCCATCTGAAAAAAAAATTCCCTTCAAATTTCAAAGAAGACAATTTCCTGTGGCTGTATGTTTTGCAATGACAATTAATAAAAGTCAAGGGCAGTCGCTATCAAAGGTTGGTTTGTATCTCAAAGATCCTGTTTTTTCACATGGACAGTTGTATATTGCCTTATCGAGAGTTCAAAGTAGAGAAGGATTGAAATTGTTAATTTTAGATAAGGATGGTAGACTTACAAACAAAACTTCCAATGTTGTGTATAAGGAAGTTTTTAGAAATTTATAAATCATTCGTAGTGTTTAAATTAAAACAATTGTGTTTTTTTTATTTAAATTTTTTATATATTTTTTATATACCATTGCAATCTATAATATTGATTTTGTTTTGATATTTCATTTTAACACTTTAATCAATGTCACATGGTGTTTATTGTTTGCTCCCTCAAATCAAAAAATTACTGATTTGCCCTCGCATTTCATAAAACATTCAAATATGCAAACTTTCACTTTAGTTATCTTTGTATTTAACTTTTCTAATGTTTGCTTGTGTTTTTTTTAACATTTATTCAAATTTGTATATTTTTGTACAAATATATATTAATATTAATTTTAAATAATAAATATAAAAATGTTTAACAAATTTACTTCTTATTAATAATATAATTTTTTTACAAATTTTTTACCCGTGGTTTCCATGGGTTGTAACCTAGTTTTTTTAATAAAAAAAACTTCATATCCATCGTTTAGAACATGTAAATTGTAAAGTATTATAACGACCCCACACTATAAAATAAGGTATACTGCAAAAAAAAAAAAAAAAAAAAAAACAAAGAGCAATATATTAGCAAAAAAGGAAACATACCAATCATAATTACTTGAATTGGATCTATTTTTAAAGCCACAGCTAAAGTAACTGTTTCTGAAAACCAAAATATTTATCGTCTTCCAAACCATCCACAAAGTAGTGTAAACAAAATGAAACTTTTTTCTTCCTTTTACCACCATCAATTCCATTAATCTTCTCTAAAAGACTAGAACACAAGTCGCGGGGCTCCTTGAAAATACTAGACCATTCTGTTAGCCATCCCCAGGTATCTATTGCAAACTCACAGGAGAGGAAGAGGTGTTCCATACACTCATCAACAAAGCGACACAACAGACAAAGACTCGAATAAATACTTATACCTCTCTTGATTATATTGTTGTAAGTAGGAATCTTGTTTTTGAATAGCAATTAATTTTCAATGGGATCCACTTAACCCAATTAAATTTTGTTTCTCTGTTATCATCCAACTTATCATTCTGTTTTTGAAAAATGACTTACCATAAAATAAACATACAAAATAATACAGTATAATAGTTGAATATTAGTTTTCTCTAACAAATGTGAAAATGTGAAAGATATAAATGAACTTGTTCACCAATTATTTACAATTTATATTTTATTTACATTCTACGAACTTAAATTTTAGAATTATTCGAAATAATATTAAAAAAAGTGATATAGAACCCATTTTTTCCATATGTTCAAACAACTTATGCATTTGTATAAGTGACTAAAAGGTAAATCCAACATATCATTTAAGAGTGAAAATGCTATCTTTTGTTATTTGTTAAAAGAATGATTGGTAAATTTTCTAATATTGTGTCAAATTGTGTAGGTAGAGATAGTAATGAAATGAAATTTGGTAAGAACTTGTTTTATCATTTTCATGGGATATAATTGATAGTGATTTTTGAAACTCTGTTGACTGGTTCAACAAAAAGGGAGTACAATTTAACTCCCCATATATGACTTCCTGTTAAAGTCTTTTAAAGAAATGCATTATATTTGCATGTACATGTACAGCTTTTTACGTTTTTTGTTGCCTTTCCATAAATCATCCTTTTAATCTACGTGTTACAAAAATATGTATTATTCGTGATTTTGTGTATTAAAAGTTGATCAAGTAAAAAAACAATCTGAATGTGGAACACACGATACAGATAACAAAAAATAAGACAAATATGGATCAAGTGAAGGGTGTCATATTCCAATGAACAGGATTGTGAACAACATGCAATGAACAGGATTGTGACTGAAACATATGTCAATAATGGAACAAAAAATACAGACTTTTGTCCAATCCAAAAAGATGAAACAAAATAGGACAAAGACTTGATTCTCAATCTGTCATATGTATGTGCAAACACATAGTAAAGGAATGATGTTCATACTTAAATGCCACCAAGGGTTTGATTTTATTATAAAAACTGGTTCAAAAGGAAGGGAGACATCATCATCATCATCATCATATCAACATCATAGTATTAAAAGCAGTCATCATGAGCAGCAATACATGCATACAAAAGGCTAGGCGTCTTGTAACTTATGGTGGGGTTACTAGATTAGTAGTTACAGTTTACAGCAGTCCTTAATTTCAAGATAACCTTCTTTTCCCAGATCCTGCAAAAAAAAAAAAAAAAAAAAAAAAAAAAAAAAAAAAAAATCAAAAGATGAACCAATGATGCAGTTGTAAGGGTATTTTAGGCATTTCAACAAAATACTTACTAGTAGTGGAGGGTTTTATGTCACGGCAGTATCTGCTACCACATTGGCACTGAAATGGCTTCACAGGATGATCATCATCATCAAAATCAATACCATAATCCTGCAACAATGTCAACATACATTATACATAAAACATCCATTATATATAACAATAAAACAAGCCATATGAACTGCATGCAAAATTCAAAATAGCAACCAGCTCACCCGAGTCAACTCTTCTAGAGCTTTCACCTTTCTTGTAGTGAAGAAAGCAAGCTGTCAATCAAGAATTTGTTTGATTAAAATTTTTAATAAAACTAAAAAACATTAACAGGTGCATAAATTACATACATGATAGTAGTGACGATCAGGATTTTCCACTTCCACAGGGATCTCAACCAAATTCGAATCAAAACACCTACCAAAAGAAACATTTTTTTCTTTTTTAAAAAAAAAAAAAACATATATTTATTTATTTATGTATTATGGCAGTATGAGCATACCTATGATTAATAAATCTAGCCACATTTTCCATAATAAGTGGCATCCAAACACAGAGCTTCTTCATCCTTAAATTCACTCTCTCCGCCCCAATCAGCATCAAGCAATACTGGATGGGCATATTCGTCTTTTTTTGAACTTTGTACAACTCTATTGTAAAGTTCTGTATTAGTCAACACTTCCCCCACATACTCACACACAAATGCACCTTTTGGCAGATCCTCAAGGGTACGAACACCCCACCCTTTTCCTCCATGTGTCATGAATACCTAAATAGAAATTAATAAATAAAACAATATAAGCCTAGAAGAAAAAAAAAACATCATGAGATAATAAAAATAAAATGACATACACCTCTCACCTGCAACTTATGTTTAATTCCACATTGTACAACTCGATTCCCACACTTTTTATTGCAGCCACATTTCAACCAACATTCTTTGATAAAACCCCTTTCCAAATGACCTTTACATTGTTCCAAAATCTCCTCATTTTTCGACCTTTCTAATGGGCATTCTTTGCAATAAAGTACAACACGTTTTTGAGGATCACGATTCATTTGTATACAATCATCTAGAAGCCACTCTTTCACAAGCCCTTCACTTGTATAAGCAAATTCACCACCACTTTGTAAAGCACATGGACAAGGTGTTGATGATGTCAGACAATCATCAAAACAAGTGGGACAACAATTGTCATCAGCAATACGAGCCAGTGAGAAGTCAACATGAGCATTCTGGAAAACTGCATTCTTTGGAATGTAATGGAAAGATGGAAGACACTCGGTGTTGACTTCATTGACCAATGAGATTGCCTCACTTTCTTGTCCTTTAGCTATGTCATTAACAACATCATCAGAAGAAGACATTGTATTATTCTCAATAATGCCATTCTGCTCTACTTGTTTTTCATGATCATTTCCATTGTTATCTATCACAGATTTCATTGGACCAACATCTATGGCTACTGGTGGCTCATTGGTGGAATTGGATCCAAGTTCCAGAAAGCATTCGCACATATCCTTCATTAGTTTCTTGACTGAAAAGCTTGGATCTAGAAGTTTGTATGATTTCAGACATTTATCTTCAACTGTTTTCAAAAGGGTATCTACACTTGTGGCAGATAACTTAGTCTTTCCATTAACACACAAAGAAATCTTGATCTCCCCAGAAGACGATGAAGCAATATCTACTTTAGCAGTTGGTTCATTTGGAATGCCTATGAGCTCATTACCATTTGATGTTTCATGAACATGGTTTCTTAAATCCACAGATTCAGAATCAGGTTCTGTTTCCAAATTGTTGTCAGTTGAAGCATCTTCATTAGCCAATGATTCTGCACATTTAAAGGAAAATCTTTATAAATACCAAAAAATCATAATCACTGGATTTATATTAACAGCAAGGGGATGGGCATAGAAGTACCTGGCATGATCACTGCAAGAGGGACCTGATAGTGAGGTGGATTGTCTGAATGGGGCTCATCTTTTGGTATTATTAAGGCATGATTCTTTTTTTTAGGCATGACATTGACACCTGTCTCAACTTTTGGCTCTTTAAAGTGCACATCAGATGACTTAACTAACCTCTTTTCTCTAGGAGCAGGATGTGGTGAAAGAGGCTCTTTCCCTCTGTTTCTGAGGCGCCTAACAGCTAAGTAAGAGCCTGTTGCATCTGCAACAACCACATCTCCTGAATGGATTACATCAGATCCTTCTATTCTTGCCAAATCATTTGGTAAAATAGGTTGTTTTCCCTTTCGTTTTAAAGGTGAAACAGGCTCAGGAACCTCATCAACCTCTAGTTTTGGCCTTTTTAGTAAAGCTCCATTTGAATTAGGGCTAGAGGGTGAAGATTGACCATCTTGATGTCTTAAGCGCAATCGCTTTAAGGGTCTTTCTGGTTCTTCTTGAGTTTGTGTTTCCTCTTCAATAGCCTTCATTCTCTGAATCAAAAGAAACATTATTGAATCAAACACAATAATCACTATATGCCCCTGAAAAACACAAGTTACTTACTTCAGCTTGCTCAAGTTGTTTTCTTCTCTGCTACCTGGAAGATGACCAATCATGAAAAAAAAAAAAAAAGTTAGAACTCGTGATATGAACAAAGAAGAAAAAACAAGGACAAATTCGGTACATGCTATTACGTACTTGAACATCAAGTTTTTTCTTGTGTTCTACTTCCTGGAAAACAAAAAAGATACAACTCAGAAATTTGGGGAGAAGAATTATTCATAGAAATACAGCAATGGAGGAAAATTTCTATAAAATATATATTTAGAAACAGATCAACATGCCTCTGACTCTTGGCTATCAAAAATAGCATCAGCAAGAGCTCTATAGTTTTCTTCTTCAATAAGCTCCCAGTTCTTATCATAAAGTTTTAAAAGCCTCTTCAAGACTGGCTTTGTTTTTTCTTCAGGGATTCCAAGATCTTTCATAGCACGAAAGGCCTTGGCAACTCTTATATTGGGAGCCATCACTTAGTATGCACTTTTCTTTTCTTCTTTGGGAATTCCAAGATCGTTTAGACCTTCATGCAAACCTGCACATCACCAAGATATATAATTCCTAGACCAAAAATGGGATGTTCAACAACATAATATCATTAATATGAAGTAAGAAAATCAATAACAATGTTCGATTAGGGGAAAACAACATTTAAGTTTAGACAGGAAAATGTAACGTCTTTCCCATTAACAGAGCTCCCTTTACAAAACAAAAAAAACGCCGAACAAAAACATTTTCAAGAAAATAAATTTCTATCCATCTATCATATGGAAAGTAACCTACCCTCTCAGCAGAACACAAAACGTAATTATTGAACTGTAACAGTTTTTTTTGCGAAAAATGTCAAATAATCAAAACGTTTGGTAGGCATGAACAGAAAAGTAAACTGCATACGAACAATGTGCACTTTACAAACGCAACTAACCCTACACCTGTACGAATTCAGTAAAATTAGGAAGAAAACCACAAGTAGAAACGATTTCTTTTGTAGAAAAGGGGGTTTTAACTAGCCACAAGAACGATCAATGATAGAAAAACGCTAAAATAACAAAATCAACAGAATGTAGTTTCTTACCGTGAGCATAAAAGAGTGATTTGCAACGAACTGGAGTACATTTGTGCGTGAGAAAACTAGTAGGGCACACAGAAAGTGACGAAAATAGGGAAATTTAGGCCTGCTTGTGACTCGTGACTTGTGAGAGTTCTTGAGGGCTTAAAGCAAAGGCGCGTGGAGTGCGGACGCCACGCCTCTCTCGCAGTCTCGCTGTCGAATCCACCTGCGCGTATTGCTGCTACGTTCATCATTTTCATTTTCATTTTCTTTTTTATAAACACTGTAATAAATTATATCCTATATAAAATTTTAAACATTTATGTTTTTATAAAACAGTTTTTTGTTTTCTATATGTATTAAATTTACTTTTTATATAAATAACCATTATATATATATATATATATATATATATATATATATATATATATAGAGAGAGAGAGAGAGGAGGGTTCAATTGAGAAAAAAAAAAAGGTTGAGAATGAGGGAATCATTCCCAGCCAATCATTTAATTAGCATCTTAATATAAAATACACGGTGACAAATTTGTAAATATGATATGATATCCTTCAATCACAGATACATAATTGTGGATAATTTGATAACAATTCAAATTCATTACTACTCGATCGTTCATCATCCAAATTTCTTCTCCAACCTTCAACGATCATCCAGATTTCTTCAATTAAATCCTCGATCAACATCATCCAATGTTAATCAATCATCCATCTTCGTCAAAAACATGTTCATCAACATCATTCAACAGTAGACAAAAAAAAATCGTTTTTGGTTCTTTCAATCCAACCTTCAATTATGCTTGAATTCGAGTATATCTTCAACATCTACGATTAATTATACCCCCAGTGTCATTAGATCAACATCATCGATAATCAACAACAATTTCACTTCATATCATTCATTCAACATCGATCATCAAACAAAACTTCTAAATTAAGGTTAGAAAAAACGTCAAATCGTTTTTTTTTTTTTGAAAAATTTCATATAATTCTCTATCAATCTACTATTTTGTAAGTTTTAAATAGTCAAAGTATCATGTTTTTAGCATTTTTAAAAAAACTTACTTGTATGCACTCCAACTGTTTGATGAAATGCATAAACTAAATTACCACGTTATATTCACATATGACTATGTTTTCGCACCTTAATCAGTATATGATTATTAAAACACAAAACAAATATACAATTTTATATGTTATTCATATGTGAATAACATATAAAAATTATATATATTTGTGAATATACCTTGTAATATTCATATGTTAATATCATGTGTAATATTCATATGTGAATAAACTGTGTAATATTCACATATGAATATACCATCTAATATTCATAAGTGAATATATCATCTAATACTTACAAGTGAAAATACTATGTAATATTCACAAGTGAATGCATCATTTAATATTTAAATATGAATATATTATATCATATTCACAAGTGTATATACTATATATTATTCATATGTGAATATACTGTGTAATATTCATTAATGAATATACCATGCAATATTTAGATGTGACTAGAATGTGTAATATTCACAAGTAAATATACCATATACTATTCACATGTGAATCTACCATATAATATTCATATGTGAATATACTATGTAATATTCATTTGTGAATATACCATGTAATATCACATGTAAATATACAATATAAACAACATATATCATATAATATTCACATATGATTATACATTCATGTGTGAATATACCATATGATAATTAGAATGTGATAAATCGCTATTATTATGAACTAAAAGTATATTTTTAACATTTTTTATGTGTATTCACATGTTTTTCAGGCATCGTTATAACTCAATAAAAGAATAACATTTCAATCAATGGTTTGTTCATATCCCGGTGGTTGACGATTGGTTGACGTAATTGAGAAGATATCATTGACGAAGACAATATGTTTTTATATTCACGTGTAAATGTTATACAATTTAATATATTCTTCATTTTGATCGTGTTAAATTCAAATGCAAATGATATTCATTAACCAATACAATGTTGTTTGTCTTAGTATAATGTTGATTTTACATGTAAAACAATATTGTTACAATATACAAAAAAACTATTCACAAACCAATTCTTATAGTGTATTATTTATTTTTATATATAAAGGTTGTATTCACAAAATAAATAAATCAACATGTATAGTTTATTCACATAAATAAAAATAACAGATTACAATGATGTTTTTACTAGTGCGATTGAAGTTAGTAACATCATCAGTAAATATGTCGTAATGATTTCTAAACTTTATTCATATATGAATAAATAGCATGTCATGATGATGTCATCACTAACAGGAATGGAAATTTAGTGACATCATCAAAACAATTTGCCGCAATGAAGTTTAGTCTCGGAATTGGACGAAATTCGCATATTTGATGTAAAATGGTGCGATTTACAAAACTCACAGCTTCGCCGTGACGTACGGTGTTTTTCGGCCATTCGGGACTGTTTAGGGCCTCAAAATGACGTTTTTCTATTTTTATAATTTTCCGAAAAAAAAGCTATCATTTATTCACAAATGAATATAACATTAATAAAAATATATATGCTTATATAATTATTTTATTAACCTAAAAAGATTAGTTGTATGTGAATAAATATATATTCTTATCAAATACTTCTTTTATCTTTAATTTTATATATTTTGTAGTCATCGGTTTTATTGACAGTTTTATTCATTTGTGAATAATACATATATATTCACATTTGATTATTGCATATATATTCATTTGTGAAAATTACATATGTTTACATGCGGATATAATTCTTATATGTTATTCAGATATGAATTACAAACTTGCTTAGGACCTCAAAACAATGTTTTTTTTTTCCAAAAAAAATACATTATCACTTATGAATAAAAAGTATGATTAATTTTTTTATAATTTAAATATCATTCATATATGAATATAGCATATAATAAACATAGTATATTCATATTTAAATATTAGACGATGCATTCAATTGTGAATATTACATAGTATATTCACTTGTGAATATTAGATGGTATATTCACTTATGAATATTATATGATATTTTCATATGTGAATATTACATAGTATTACATGGTATATCACATGTGAATTTTACATAGTATATTCACTTGTGAATATAATATGATATATTCACTTATGAATATTACACAGTATATTCACATATGAATATTACAATGTGTTTTCACAAATATATATAATTTTTATACGTTATTCACATATGAATAACATACAGACTTGCATATTTGTTTTTTTTTAATAATCATATACTGATTCAGGTCGGAAAACATATTCATATGTGAATATAACGTGGTAATTTAGTTTATGCATTTCATCAAACAGTTGGAGTGCATACAAGTTAACTTTTTTAAAAATGTTATAAACATGATACTTCCAATTCAAGTTATCAATTCCAAATCATCATATACTTCCGATTTCGACTTTGAAGCGTGCAATTCCGATTTTCATTTCATTCCAAAAAAAATCCGATTTCAATTTTGAAACCTCGAAATCCCGATTCCAGATTTCTTTATAATACTAATAATCAAGACGCGAACTGTTCCGATTAGAATATATGTTCCAATTTCAAAAGCTTCCGACTTCAGATGCGACATCCTATGTCTGATCGATTTCACATTTTGATTTTGATTTCCAAAAATCCGATTAGGAACCTGTGAGTACCGATTCCGAGTCCTTCAATGTCGACTGTGACTGCAAGTCCAAAACTCCAATTCCAATTTCATGAACAACAAAGAAATTCCGATTCCAACTGAGTTCGTTTGCGAATCTGGGAAATTCAAATTCGGAGTATTCAACAAAGAAATCGATGTTACGTATTTGAGATTGAAGGTTATTATCATATTTACAAGTTTGTCACCGTGTCTTTTATGCTTAAATTAAATGAGTGGCTGAGAATGATTCCCCCATTCTCAACCTTTTTTATTTTCTCAATTGAACTTACCTCTATATATATATATATATATATATATATATATATATATATATATATATATATAACATAAATGATTAAATATGTAAAAATAATAATGATCATGTAGGTGAAAAAAATATATAAGTAAATATATACACCAAACAAAATTTTAAAATTTATAGTATTTTCAATGATAGTTTATTCAAAAGATTTTTTCTATTCGAAAAAACTTTTGAAATATTTTTTATCATGAAAATAAATCATAAAGGTTACTTCAAACACTTATGAGCGTCTACAATGATTATCTTATATTATCACTTAAAATTATTGTGAGATCATCATTCCATTATGGAAAATCTTCATAAATGGTCAATGTGATTTCCAAAAAAATCGAGTTCATTCATTAACTTTTTAGGTTATCAAGGATAGTCCATGTGGTTTAAAAT